AGTGCGAGATGAACGAGTGCCAGAACTGCGCCTGGCTCCACGACACGCCGTCCATCCAGAGGTTCTTTGCGTTGAGGATGGTGAAGGCGATGGGGCGCCCGGGTTGGTTGCTGTTGTTGCGGTTCTCGTCGTACCATGCTTGACCTGCAAGGTTTCAAGCGGTGGTTAGAATGTTAGAATATCTTATCTTCGAGACACATATCACATATGGTTCCATTCCCAGCATAGCGTTCAACACCTTGGACAAGGACGATTGCACGCCTCTCTCTTTCGGCAGAAGAGGAGGACAGACGAAAGGGAAAGAGATGTTGTCGCGACTCACCGTTCCCGTTGAACCGACCCTTCCCAAACCCCTTGAACGTCACATTCTCCCCACCGAAAAACCACGCCGTCGACAGGTTGGCGTACACGACCGAGTAACTATGGCCCAGCCAGTACGGGATGTTGTCGCTCCAGATCATCTCGCCGTGCAGCTCGACGTCGCAGTTGACCAGACCCGTCGTGTTCATGACCTGGTTGATGTGGAACGTGTTCTCCGTCAGGATGACGGACCCGTTGGTCCCGCACAGTTCAAAGGCCTGCAGGATCGAGGGCGTGTCGTCGACCGGTTCGCCAAAGTGCGTTAGGGACTCTGGGTACACGTAGCATGCCGTGCCGTTGTTGACTACGTACCCGACAGCGGTGGAGGCCGCGGCGAGCACGGCGAATAGTGGTTTCAACAGCATTGCTGTTCCTTAGTTAGAGGAGGAGCAGTACTCGTCCGCTCACTCAGTCACTTCAGGGGGTGGTTTGTTGATTTCCAACAAGGAAGTGGAGAGCCAGTTCACGTTTCTTTTTTCGGGAATAGGGATAGCAAAGATCAATTGGACAGGAGAGGGGTTTGCCACACCGTACCTTTTTCTTCTCTTTATGCTCACTCCTTCACACACGGCTCTCGAGGTCCATCGACCCAAGGTCTACCGAATGCTCGCCAATTGTTCGGCGAAGCTCCGATGGCGGATGACTGCGCATCTCCATCCCCATCTCCAACAAACAAGCAAGAAAACAACCGCTTGACATGAGCCTAAAGCCGTTGTGATGATCTGCACTATTAGCTTGTCTACTTGCCAGGGAAGCTTGTCGATGTGGATCGGACCAGTGTTAGAAGGGTTACTCTACGGTGACGATAACATCCGATGGTGTTTGTATAGTTTAAGCAAACGTCCAGCAAAACTGGGGAAATGACCAAAAATTGTGAGGGGGAACAAATGCGGGGGATTCGAGGGCGGAGGGCAACGGGAGTAGGAATGGACATGGACAACATGGAGTTTGGCCTGAAGGGGAATATGCATAACATTATTATATTGTGGGATTATGACGTTGGGGAAAGACGGGATGATCGACAACGCAGCAACCGAGCACTATTCTCACTATCCCCTATCTATACCCGACTACTCTCTATAGAATGAAGTATGGGGTAAACCGGTTAGCTCGAGGACAAGGAACCTTAGTGCAAAGAGCTACTGACTGTAGTTGCTCCAAGTACAAGGTATAGAGATGGTTATTAGGCTAATTGACGGCTTTGAGGCTACTCGAATGCCGCCGCCTCTCCTCCAGTACCACGGCAGATGCATTGCCGAAGACTGGCTTTTAATGAACACGTCAAACTTGCTGTGTGTAGACGGTGTTCCCTCCAGTAGGACGGGTTTCTTCGGTGCAGGAGACCGCTGGGGCGGAAAGCAAAGTTCCCCAAGTGTCTCTGTCCTTGTTTGTGCTTCGGAGCAATTCAACCGACATTGTGGTTTATGGAGCCCGTCGACTGTCCCCTCATTTGGACGGGAAGTCTGGATGAGAATACATTATTGTCCGAGCGAGGAACCGGGATCCAACCGTACCGCGAGACCTGATCATCCGTCGGTCTGAAGGTGATGGTAAGCGAGTACCTATCGCAATCCTCCTGTGGCTGCCGTCGGATACAACTCGACACGTTAGGAAAACCCGATAGCCAGACGTGTAAGTTCTGGTGAGAGATACAGAGATGGGCGTTTCATCATCTGCTGCGGTTAGCCCAAGTGAGTCCGACTTTGATAAAAGGTGCGGCATTGAAGACTGATATCTTTGACGACGCCCACACAAACAAAAGGGAGAGGACATCCGAGGAAGAAAGGAGAACCCTATCTGTTTGTTCCATTTGTGTATTCTCAACCTATACAGGATAGGCAGGGATGTGCGTGTCTACCGACTGGACAGCACAAAATCCGAACAAAGAGAATCGGGACGCGATTCCAGAGGCCGCCACAGAATTGTTGCAGATTTTATCCTCGTGATAAGGGTTGTCCAATATGTTGTGGATCATTAATGAAGTAGCGAGGGTGATATGGTGTCCAGTGCCAAGAGGGTGATGATCCCATAGCGGTGTGCTGCGACGATTCTAGATCAAAGGTAGGTTTGGACACTTCATTTCTCGATCTCGTGGAAATTCGTTTCTGTCCAAGAGACAGAAGCTGTGAGCGGCCCTTCTGGGTAACGGAAAGGTCAGTGATCAGGCTTCAGCACTTACTGGAGATTGAAGAGATCACACATACGTGCAACAAAGTGACAAAGTGACAGTCGCGTCGTTTGTTGTCTCAGCAGAAAGTGCGATGACGCTTATCCATTATTGGAATATACTGCCGCCGCTTTAACAAGTGACACTGCTCGACAGATACCGTCACTGCATAAATACTTGTCTACGAAATGTCACCCTTCAGATCATCTTTAAAGCTCTCAATTCTCAAACTGACCTTGACGCGACCTTTGCGGGATGCATGGAAGTGGCTGAGAAGCTTAGCATCGTGGTGGTGGTGCATAGCGGAATACAAGGCTCGCATCCCCTACCAGCGCAGTGCCTGTCGCCATGGCAGACAAAACCCAGTCAGAAGTCACTCAACCCATCGTCCAGACCAGCTCCCTTTCAGAGACACTTGGCCAACTTCACGCTTCTTTCAAGGAGACTTGTGACAGAAAAGACCTGTCTTGCTCGCCAGATGCGCTTGGTCGACTCGGCCAAGAAGGTGAGGCAGCCCCGATCCTGTCAAGAGATATTCTGCTGATAGTGTCGACTTAGACCTCCGCAGTCTTACGCTCCTATGCTTGTCCTCGCTAAATGATCATCCAACATCAAGCCACTTACCTTCGACAACGGGCCGCAGATGCCTGCGAGATGATCTCCTTGAATTCACTTCCGCAGTCTCCTCTGGCGGTTTTGACCTCGCATGCATCAAGCCTCTCTTGAACACAGCTCTGAGTAGTAACCCATATGACCCAACTATCTGGGAGCAAGTCTACAATGCTATCACTGAATCTGGCGTGCTCCATCACCAGATACCGTCACAACCTCCGTCGCCACTCAATCCAACCAACTCCCCGGCATCCTGCGAGTCACCTCAACAAGACATACGCGACAGAATGCTCGATCTGGATATGAGTCCCGATGACTGCTACTATCGGCTCCTACGCGAGGACAACAGCGGGAAGAGAGTTATCTATGTTTTCATAACTGATAACACCATCCTCCCCGAAGACTCGAGAACCGAGAATTACGCACTTGTTCGCGAGCTGTCCAAGCTCGATGGGTGGTACGATACGTGGAATACGTTGACCGTGTCGAGGCTTGCTGATGGAATTGAGTGCCTACAAGATCATTTCGGACTTCATGCCATACCTCCGGAAAAGCTGGTAGGCTCCTACCCACTTTTCGACGTCCTTGATCTTCGTGTCCTGTCCAGGCCGAACCACCGAGTCAAGTACGTCGACACCGGGTCGGGGCTGGGTTATCTGAAGATTGCAAGATTCGCATTCGAAGTTGGTGCCATCTCACGCGAGATCGAGGCCTACGAAATTCTGGCACAGAGAAAGTCACAATTGGGACCTGCGTTATTGGGCTATGTCTATGAGGGCACGCCGGAACGTATTGTTGGATTCATTTCTGAGCCAATCGATGGCCGGCCAGCTTCCATCTCCGATCTCCAGGACATTGAGAGGGCACTTGAAGAGTTGCATGCCTGCGGACTCGTTCACGGCGATGTGTTCAAGTACAACGTCTTGATCACCACACAGGGGCCGAGGTTTATCGATTTCGAGAAGTCTTCTTTGCCACCACCCGACGATCCCGAACTCTGGCAGGAGATGAAAGAGCAGGAGCTTCGCGGCCTAGAGGCAGCTCTGCTGGATGAGACTGGAATGGGAAAGCCATGGAATTGGTAGACCCTCAAAAGCGTCCTGAAACTCAAGTCACAAAGTCAGTATGAAAGTAGCTCGTCCACGGATTGGATCAACATTTCAAACACTGGTTGAGCATTTGCGACACTTGTACAGTGTCCTCTTGGCCTCTTCGTATCTCCATACCCCTGTTGCGCATCTGTGATCTTGACTGCTTTCATGCTTTGGACATTTCACGATCTCGCTGTTGATGCTGTGTCCACAAGCATATCGGATCTGATACTGTATACGCACGGATTGCTGTGGAGGCATCGTGAACAAACCGCCAACCGAATTTTATGGTAGGTATTGTGAGGATATGGATGAGGAATGACTTCATCTGCTGTCCAGATCTGCCCGCCCCGTGTCTCTATATCCAAGGTGTGGAATTCACCATCAATAGCCGAGTGCATCGCACATCCAGTGAAGTGCCTTTCTTCACAGTCTTGTAAATCACACCACAAACAGCGCCTCCTGTGGATGTGATAGTCTGCGCTCCCCAAAGCCCACCAGACTGCCTCATAACGAATCCTTCCTTTTTACATGTCTCCCGTCTACGGTTCACCATCCACCCACCCAACTCCAATGGGATCCGTCACAGCCCTCCCGGGATCTACAACCTGTGCAGTCGACCTCCCGGCTCAAGATAGGTAAGGTGCTCTGGTGTGATCTCGCTGACCGTGCGACATCTACCAGCATTGAGACCATCAGTTAGCGTAAGTGCTGTCTCGGATCCGCCACCCAAGACCAAGAAGACAAAGGGGCAGAAAGTGTGGATATGGTCACAAGTACCCTGCAAGTGCCATAGTCGTGCGAAACTCGTCCAAGAGAAGCTTCAAGCCCAGCTCGACGCCCTGCTGTCCGTTGTACTGGCAAAAAAACAGCACATTAATAGGTATACCTCGTACGGAGGTTATAAACAGTAGCAGCAGAGATCATCTCATGAAATAGCGCACGGCAGATGGCAGAGGGCAGATGGGACACGACTCACTGCAAGTCCCCAGATCGGGACCCTGCCGACGAAACAGTGCTGCGCTCCGAGTGCGATGGCCTTGAACATGTCTGAACCGCGACGGATTCCCCCGTCGACAGCCATCTGGATTCGACCCCGGCTCACTCGCGCACACTCCCTCAGGCAATCCAGGGTGGCAGGGACTCCGTCGAGCTGGCGACCGCCATGGTTGGAGATCAGCACACCGTCCACGCCGTGGTCGATGGCAAGTAAGACGTCGGCCGGGTTGAGGACTAGGACCACCACCGGTAAGCTCACTTACGCCTTCATACTTTTCCCTTTTGCAGGGTGTCACAACTCTCTCCAAAGGGAGTCGGGCGTGGGTGTCTTGTCTGACTTACTGCCTTTCAACCAGATTTGCATCCTCGTCTTCCCCTTCAACCAGGGGATGATTTCTGCCCATTCCAGACTTGAATCTGCACAGGAAAGAAAGTAAGTGCGACGACTTTTTTTAGCAACCAGAAAACAGCGAAATCTCACAATTTCGCGAGCAACACACACACACACACATACATACCGTAGTCCTGCGAGCTTTCTTCCTTGGCAAACTCGTCGTGGCCCGAAGACAGGATATTGGGGAAACTCAGGTCGTTGGGTAATGTGAAGTTGTTGCGGAACTCGTTGAGACGCCTGCCCAGGACGGGGACGTCGACTGAAAGAAAGATGGCCTTGTAGCCAGCCGCTGTTCGGGGAGAACGGGGTTTTGTTCCAGAGACCCATGTCAGCAGTTGTCTTATCTTTCCCGTGGGGTTGGAGAGGATTGGGAAATGGAGGGCAAGAAGCAAGAAGTATGTATGGCGAATGGCCAAATACGGACCTTCAGCCCTCTCCAAAAGCTGCGCGGTCCTGTTCCGGTCCTTGAGCACGCAGATCTGCATCATGTACGGGTTGCCGCGGCCCTGCGCCGCCACGTCTTCCAGCGAGGTAGTTGCGTACGACGACAAACACATGCTGACGTTCATGTTGGCCGCCGCCCGTGACGTTGCCAGTTCCCCTTCGGGATGTGCGAGCTTGTGCATGGCCGAGGGACTGATGCCCAGCGGGAAGGTGACCTATTATAAAAGCCCTCGACAGATTGGCAACAAGAATTGTTGGGGGGGGGGGATCGATCCCAAACAGTAGAATACGGGACACGACCATGGAAACGACAATAGTCGTCTACTTACCTGACAGCCAAAGAGGGTCGTCGAGGTATCGACGCATTGGACGTTTCGCAGAGCGCGTGGCAGGATTCGATACCGGTCGTAAGCGGCGATGTTGTCGCGTAATCTTGCCCGCATTAGTGTCGAGTGTCAGGGGGGTCTTTCTTCGCGAGCCTCGCAAGACGATGATGGCCTTTGCCAGCTACTTGGCTTTTTGGAGACATTGTGTATGTAGCGCAACGGAAAAAAAAAAACTTACGATATCATATCCATGGCGCCTTCGTTGTAGTATTCTGATAGAAAGCTGTCAGCCTTTGGCAGCGAAGAAAAAAAACCGACGTCGACCTTACCACGATACGTTTTCGGGAGCTTTTTAGAACCCAGCGCCTGGAGATCCTCAACAGTGAAGACATGGGCATCGAGTGATCGAGGTCGATTTGCCATTGTCTCGGCGGATTTCTGTTTGTCGGAGTGCGTGCTGCAAAAGATGGTGAAAAAGGTCCCCTTGAAGAGAATCCTTTTGAAGTATTTCCAATGGTTTTGTTTTGCGTAGGGGTGGATTTGAGACCTCTGGGTGGAATCCCTCTCTGTACAGATAGATAAATAAACCAAGGTGAGGGCCGATACTTCCGATAGAGACGCAACGACACTCAGTCTGATTTGTTTCTGTCGCCGGGTTCTCCTGACCCCCTAACGCCCTTCTCCTTGTTGTTATCCATTCTAGATCTATTCCGCTCAAGTGCGACTGACTACGCACCGGAAACTCTTGCCCAATTCATTAAGCCAAAAAGGGAAATGACAAAAACAGGGAAAATGAGTGGAGCTTAATGTCATGACAACATTGGATGGGCTGACAATATCTTTGCTGGAAAAGAGGAAGTCCTATACGGTTTGGCACTACGTAACATGCCTTGAGATTTCTCGATGCGGTATGTCAGGTTCTGTCTGTCTTGGAATTCAGATGCTCTGTTTATATCGGGAACGTCCTTCCCTTTCCCTTTTTCGCGGAGATCGAATGCGGCGAAAGAAGTCCAGCAAATATCAGAGGGATGTAGACCATTGCAGGAGATCTTTCCCCTTTAAATCGCTCAGAAATACAAATATCTGGCGGATTTCTTTTTGCCTGGCTACTCTCACTCATCCCTTTTGATCTAGCAAACTGTGTTTACTCATATCACCCAGAGCTACACTCAAAATGAGTTCCGCAAATCCCTCCCTGTCAGGCATTCTCGTGGCATTGATCACCCCCTTCACAGACGACGGCTCCGCCATTGACAAATCCCGTCTCAAGGCCCACATTGATCACATTGTGGGCGCGGGATGCCATGGCCTCGTCCCCGGCGGCACCACCGGCGAGTTCACCGCGCTGAGCATGGACGAAAGAAAACAGAATCTCGAGCTCTGTATTCAATACGCCGCTGGAAGGGTACCCGTGGTGGCGGGCATCGGCGCCACGACGACCAGGGACTGCATTGACCTGGCGAGTCACGCCAAAGAGGCCGGAGCAGCGGCTGTGATGGTCGTGCCGCCATACTACGACCCGGTCAACTACGAGCAGCTCCAAGAACTCATGGCCGAGATCCACGAGGCCGCAAACCTGGACATTGTCTACTACAACATCCCCTCGGCGTCCGGGCTCAGCCTGACACCGACGCAGATTGCCGGGCTGTCGAAAGTCGGCGTGAGATACCTGAAGGACACGTCGGGCAACGCTCCCGCTTTCACCGAGTTGGTCTTTTCGCTCAGCGACCACATCACCGCCTTCAACGGGTGGGATACCTTGACCTTCTACAGCCTCGCCGCGGGCTGCAAGGGCGCAGTGTGGGGTGCGTCGAATATCATCCCTGAGCTGTCGGCCCAGCTGTGGGATACGCTGGCTGTGAAGAGTGATTTGCAGGCGGGTCGAGAGTTGTGGTCCAAGATCTACCCGGTCTGCAAGTTTCTCGAGGAGTACAATTACCCCTCGGCCGTCAAGACAGCCATGGAATTGCTCGGCTATCCAACCGGAGGACTGAGGAAGCCCTTCAAACTGCTCACCGGTGAGCCGCAAGCAGAGTTGGCCAGGATCTTACAAACTGCCGGGCTGAAGGTGGTGAATTCATGAGCCACCTCTTTAAAAAGGCTTGCCGGGTTTCATCGTAAGACAACTGCCAATCGGTGGTAATGGTTTCATGACAGTAACAAGTGCAAGTTCTGTTCCTTGGAAATTCGCTCCCACGTTCGGGTCTGATCGCGGCTTCCCGTGCAAAATGCGCCGACAGGCCGGTCGCGCCGCCTCCATACCTCCTCCATACAGGCCTTCGCCACGGTGATCCTTGTAAACCCCGTGACGGCAAAAGCCCTCTCGAACCAACCCTTCAGGTACTCCTTCTGCGAAGGGTACAGTGCTTCACACCCGGCCATAAAAGCAGGCCAGGGGGACCCGGTTCCCCGGATGCCAGTCTCTTTGCACGCAGCTTCGTACGTTTTCAAAGCCTGGATGACGGTCTTGACATGTTCTTGTAGGATCAACGGGTTGACCCTCCTGATTCTTCGGTAGAAGAAGATCACGAGAGCAGAATTCAGCGCCTGCACCATCGACTCGCGGGCTAGTTCCACGCTTGGTCTCCGCGTGGTTGAGAGCGCTTGGTCGTCGGCATCCGGGAGGTCGCTCGTGGCAAACGCACAGACCATGTTTTCTAGTCGTTGCTTTCGTCTTTCGATCGCTTCCATGAACACAATATCGCATTTGTCCTTGTCGAATGCCACACTGTCGATGAAATTTGCCAGTCTCGTCGTTTGTGACACAAGACTGAGCCACTTCTCAGATATCCCATAAAGCTCGGTGTACATGCTCGGCGGAAATTCTCGGCTGTCTTCAAGGTGGATGTCATGCTGTCCGGTCTCATTGTCCTTTTCTGCACCGGCTTCAATCTCGCTGTCCGGGATACATGTGTCGAGTCGCAGGAAGTCATCCAAGCGAGGGTTGGGCCCCGAGTGAGGCTGTATCGCAGCTACTTCACTGGACCTGGCAGTCCCAACAGCACCTTTTGCCCTGGTTGATTCGTAGTTACGCAACACGAAAGTACTTTCTTCCACTATCCTTGTCCACGTATAGACATGGTGCAATTCCCTTGCCTTTCGCGAAATGGTCCGTTTCGCGAGTCCGCGAAGCCGAAGCAGCCGTTCAGCGTCGATCATATACGCCCGAGCGTCTGCTTGATTATCGTACAGAGTCTTTGCGGACATTAGCAATTGTGTGCTACTTCCGTCGCGATACTTACGGCATATGTCACCATGGCTAGAATTGCCATAAGTAGGTCTTTATATTTAGCAGCATTAGTGCCCTTGATCTCGTTCCGCAAGGCACAATGCAGGTTTTCCTTTGCCTTGTTGATGTTGTTGGCTGCAAAATCTTGCCAGTATCCCCGAGAAGATTCATCTGTATGGGCTACCATGTGCTTGGCGGAGAGAGCCAGTAGTGCCTGTAAATTGGCCAGAGCAGCGTGAGATACCGGTTGCGAAACCATGTACGTCAGTCTTGCCAGGGTCAGAACCGCATTGTTCAGGTTGTTGACTTCCCACGGCGACTTCTTCTCGACAGGCATGATCCGCAATTGAGGCAAGACCCGATCTTTGAAGTGAGTGAGAAGTAGTTGTGCTTCTGCAGGGTCAATGTCGTCAGGTTTCACGCCTATCTCGCCGCCTAATGACCTCATCGAGGGAGACACGGCTCCAGCGCAGCCGACATCTCTTTCAACCGCGAAAGTATCGGCATGGTTGATCTGCGGCGCCGCAGGATCAGGAGCGGCAAACAAATCCTGAAGACCGTTGTCGAATGACTGCGGGAATATCTCGGCATTTGTAAAGTCCAGGTCAAAAAGATCAGGCCAATCCAAGAAGTCGTGTATGTCGCTTAATCTGCCAACTGACTCAATAGATGATAAGTCATTTTCGTGACGCTGAACGTCAGTAGCTTGTGGTCCGGACATCGTCTGAACTGATTCACTCCGAGTTAAGCTGCTCCGAGGCTGTGGTGGCGTGGTATCGAGGCTGAAGACCCCAAAAGGGCCCACAACGAGGCCATCGGCACAGCCTGGTACTCCATCTCGACACCTGCCGTCAAGTTCTGAGAGAGACTCCTCAACAGGCTTATGAGCAAAGTCCGAACGCAGAGCTTTGCTCATCAGCTCTTGAGTTGCTTCTGAAGATGCCATGTCAGCAGAGATTGCTCAGCTGAGACGCATCCATGAGAAGAATACCTGTGTAGAGATGATGTCTCACTGACTGGCCTGCCGACTCCGTGCGGCCCTCGTTGTTAGTGGCTCGGCTCCGACTGTCAACCCATTTGAGGTCCTGGCTGAACCCTTCGCAAGCCGCGCCAACAGCCCTACAAGTGAGACATGTAGGCCGCACCTTGTCACATTTGATGTGACGTCTGCGACAGGTTTTACATCCGCCAAATGTGTGGCTTCTGGTACGCTTCTTGTTGGCGACTGTTTTCATATTGTGACGCCCCGCGCTGAGAACGTCTGGGGTCCATTGTATGGCTATCTCAGCCATCAGCGAGATGCGAGGAGCAGCCGCGGCGTATGACTAGGACCAAACTCAGACGCTCTGTTCTGAGAGGTCCTGCAGTTGATTTAGGATGCTCGTTGTCTGAGGAGGGGAAGTCGGGAAAGAGTTGCCACGATGATTCAGCCTCGTCCGGATTTGGGGTCGTCGGAGTCACTTTCCTCTTCTGGTCACGCTCCTCCTTGATTGGCCACTTCTGATAGACACAAGGCGTGGCCTGGACAGCGTCATAGTGTCACATAACTATGACTTCGAGAGTGTGGAGAAGGACGTGAAGATCGATTGAGCAGTAGTAGCCCATGAGTCTGACCGATTGGAGCTAGAGGTGGTCTCTGTCCACCAGGAAAACCTTGATGTGGTGAATGGTCCATGGAAAGATTCGTAGCAGAGACAATAGACAATGGCATCATCGGATTCTAAACTAGGAAAAGAGCCCAGGGGTTTCGAGAGTGTCTATCGGGTCAAGATTTTGAATCACATGGTGACAGAATTCTAGCTTTCCACCTACTGATCCAAGCTCTCATCTTTGCACAGCAACCCTGTCCGTCAATCGCTTCGAGCATTCTCGCTACATCTTCCATCGAATGAACCGTATCATGCCAGCATGCCCTTGTCACCTGACGTAGCGGAGCGGGCAGGCTCTGGAGATCAGGAAATTGATTGTTCATGTACCGCTCTTCGACGATGTGCGTTCGAGTCCGAGACGTTTCAAGCTCGTCTTGGAAGGGAGGCCTGCCCGTCACCACTTCAAAAATCATACATCCAAAGGCGAAGACGTCTGTTTGAACGGTAGCGATAGATACAGGGCCGGATCGGCGGTATGAGAACCACTCGTGGCAGGAACTGACTTCTGCGCTGTCAATGTTGCAGCCGGCAAAGTCAATCAGCTGTACTCGACCATGGGTGTTCAGGATGGCATTGTGACAGCCAACATCGGCATGCACAATCCCTTTGGAGTGGCAGTGTTGTAGTCTGTGCGCGTAGTCCTTCAGCCACTGGACCTTTCTCCGGATCGAAACATCTTCGTTTGGCGGACGAAGCACTTCTCGGAGAACACGTCCCCGTTCAAGAACAATATCCCTTCTTGAAGTAGAGGCTAGGAATCGTGCGATGTTCGGGTGTTTTTGCCGAGACGGGCGTACGCTCGACGCTCAACAATGTCCTCGTTGTTGTCGGTGTCGTGGTAGGCTTTGAGAACCCTCTCCGTGTCAATCACATCCACGACACTTGACTGGCCGGCTGAAAGAAATCGAAGTCCATCGTACGCAATCTCTAGTGTCGGCGTGTCTTGCTCAGGTCATAAGTGCATCGCATAATGAGGCTCTGCCACCGAGGGACATCTCCTCTGTTGACGGGTAAGGAGGACAAAGGGAAGAGGGAAACAAATTGGGAGCTTGTGTTGACGCCGGTTTCAAATGACGTGCAATTTGACTATAAGAACGCGTACCAAATAAGCTTAACCAGCGCGGAGTTTTGGGGCGGGGGTGGAACTTAAATCATTCAGTCATTTGAAACAATTCGGCACCTATGACAATCCACCCAGCCACTAAGGACCTTTGTCAAAACCACCCCGTTCTCTAGTACAGGTGGATTATCTCTCCAAGAGATCTCGCTCAACCTCAAATCAGTAGAGCTCTCTTGCTCGACCGAGATCAACGCACCCAGTTGACTTGTGCGATCTCAAGTGTCAATCCCCAATTTTGGCACCACTCGCATCGCCCTCCTTTGACCGATGGGAGCGTGTCGAGATCTGCATCATGTGCGGCATCGTTACAGCGCGGGCCTGGCTTGGGCGACTTCGGACACCTTTTGACCAGTCGAGTCTCAATCTTGTGTTTTGGCAGCGGTGGTGCTCTTTGGCAGTCTCGTTTTTCGGCAATTGAAATGCCATGGCAACACATTATGCTCGAGACCTGATGGAATGTGTTTGCTGACGGATCTGTCGTCCTACCGAGTGTGATGGGCAACGAGGCTGAGGTAGCGCAGATGACCCTTGATATACTAGCAGATGTCGGGATCGCAGTGAACGAAGACTTGGATACAGGGCTCTTGCTCATGTCACCAGGTCACATTTCAACGTTGCCGGCAAGTGTCGAGTTTCTTCTGGTAATACAGCAACTATGGTGTTCGCGATGAACGAGACGCGATCAGCTCCTCGAATATTACCCCTTGTATGCAAATGTGACATTGCGGAATATCATGGGTGCTTCTATTCAACATTCATGTTGTCTCTACTCCGCAATACTTCTTGGTATCCGTACACGTCCGTTCATCATTCCAAGTATCAGCCATCAACACTGATGGGTTCCAAACATGTAATCCTCTGCTTCGAGCCTGGCTCCCGCTTGAAAACGACAGTCGCGCCAATGCTATTCACAGCGCTTGTTCACTAATCCTAACAAACTCTCGCGACAAGGAGCACCTGTCTAGGCCAGCCATGTACCCCTCGCTGCCCCTCGTCCTCCGCACAATCCTGAATCCCGGTCACGCAATTTCGGGACAGTAACAAACCATCGAGATACATTAGTAATTCGACGACACTGCAAAATCATATACTTTTCTCATCTTCTAAACCACCTTGTTTATTAGCATTGATTGTCTGGCGTCCTTCACTGCGTCCTTCGATCTGATCGGGAAACAGGAATCCAAAGAAGAGAAAGAAAATCACTTCGACAAAATGGTATCCGACAAGTTCTATGCTATTGTAGCAGGCATTGGCCCAGCAACTGGGAGGTCAGTCGCTCTGCGCTTCGCCGAGGCGTATCCAGTGGTCCTGCTGTCGCGTCAGTCGGACAGCTACAAGGATGTCGTTGCGCAGATCAACAAGAATGGCGGAAAAGCAATCGGCATCTCCGCCGACGTGACGGACCCGGCTTCCTTTGCTTCGGCACTCGAAACCATCAAGAAGGACTTTGCGGATTTGCACCTTGTCGCCGCGATCTACAACGTCCGCCCCAACCTGCGGCAAAGCCGTAAACCGTTCCTCGAGCTGACGCGGGCGGATCTGGACACGAGTCTCACCGGTAACATGTAATTATGTGTCTCCCCATGATGTCAAGCTAGGACCGTATCTAACGGGCCGGGTGCGCGCTCTAGCGGTGGTCTCTTCAACTTTGCTCAGGGCGTAGTGCCGCTGCTTCTCGAGTCTGTGGATCGTTCCCCATTGCCGCCGACCCTGATCGTCACCGGAGCGACCGCATCTATCAGAGGCTCCAAGTTGTGGTCTGTTATCGCGGCCGGGAAATCTGGGGCGCGCATCTTGACACAGTCCCTCGCCAGGGAGTTTGGCCCCGCGGGAGTTCACGTCGCACACGCCATCATCGACGGCGGCATTGATGTCCCGGACGCGGAGCATGCTGATCGCAACGATGCTGCACCGGACGGCAAATTGAGTCCCTACGCTGTAAGTCGTCTCGACATGTGCTGTCAAAATTGGAAGCTAATCTGTGGTCAAGATCGCCGAGAGCTACTGGAGTCTGCATACGCAGCACAAATCTGCCTGGACGCAGGAGATTGACTTGCGGCCGTTCAACGAGAAATTTTAACTGATATAGTCTACGCAGGACCACGTTGAAGAATGGATCGAGGAAAAATACGAATGACGCAGCTCAAATGGTGATTTGGGGCACCTACGTGCTTGTTGCTGTCGCGGTGAGTACGGTCACCCTCTACAGGGAGGCGGATGAAGTGCGAGGTATGTAGCGAAGCTGTACTCGGTACGGAAGCTCGCAATACCCATCGATCGACCAATGAACCAATAAGACAGCTAGACAAGCCAGGGCGCCCAGGGATACCTACATCATTATAAATACACATATATGTAATACGCTCTTTTCCTCAGCGGGCACCTAGGTACGAAAGAAGATAATATCTGATTACACCATTCAGTGCAAAGCCATTGACAGGGTCCCAAACGCCTGTGACGGTATCGCCATACGCGTTTCTACCGTTGTACGAGGTATGGCTGGGCTGTTCGATCACTGTGGACACTTCCTTCCCCTCCCCATATAGCCCACATATAACTAGTTACCAAACAAGGCCAAGTTCTGTGGCTCTACGCTAGCAAGTATCAAGTATCCATTCAAAAATGGCCAACATCACGCTCAATGTGAATCAATAGATCAATTATCATTCAAAAAGACGGCATTGGAGAACATTGACGACTGGCGTGCTTTTTGCATGTATTGCGTGCTTGAAGAGCGACACAGATGACAAATTGACGGGCGTTGGCCTGTGATGCGGATGGTCAATGCCGAGACGGATGTCGAGGGCCCTGGGATAGATGGGTATTAGTTATATCATCGATAGTCCTGCCTCTCGACGTTCTTTGTTTGGTATCTAGTATACTTGGACACCTAAGCTCGAATTGCACTGTTTGACATTTTCCAGTAACAAAAGAGTATCGAATATGGCCACAGCAGCAGTCCAACACGCCCCTGGCAATACTCTGGGGCAAGTCGTCGAGCCTCTCGTCCAGACCAACAAGCCCGCCAAACGCGATGTCGCCGCCGAGGTGTACTACTACAAGGACCCTGGTGACGGATCTCTCCCTGCTCCTTCATACGTCGGGTATGTAATCCTCCCATCAGAGTAGTGGACCAGAAATAGAACAAAAAAAGATTCTTGATTCTAAATCCTTGGGGGGTGTAACAGAAAACCCGACTCGTATCTACGCCCCCACGTCACCCAGAACGTCGTCATCCACGATATCGCCGGCGACGAGGACAAATACACCCTCGACAGCCACGGGTTTCAGTACTTGAAGCATGAGAGCGCAGAGAAGGACTTTGTCGACGACGACAAGATCAAGGCGGAATATTACCCGGAAATCGAGCAGTTGTTGAAAGATGCGTGAGTTTCCTACGTTTCCCCTTTTTTCGTGTGTTGTTGTTGTCTTGATCGGGCCAGAAGGGGGGGGAGGGTAAATATATACTAACCATGTTCGAACAGCACGGGGGCTTCTCGCGTCTTGATCTTCGACCACACGATCCGTCGCGCGACGTCGGACGTCCGTGACGTTGGCGGCCAGCGTCGCGGGCCTGCGCGCCGCGTGCACATCGACCAGTCATACACGGCGTCGGAGAACCGGGTGCGGTACCATCTCCCCGACGAGGCGGAGGAGCTGCTCAAGAAACGGTTCCAGATCATCAATGTCAGTACCATGACACAAACTCACCACTGCCCCCTCTTCTCCTTACCTAGGTATCTAATCACCCCTGGTGAAAAAAACAGGTCTGGCGCCCCATCAAACCCATCCTGCGCGACCCGCTCACCCTGGCCGCCGCCCACTCCGTGCCCGAGTCCGACCTCATCCCCGCGAAACTCATCTACCCTGACCGCGAGGGCGAGACGTACGCGGTCCGCCCGAACCCCAAGCACCAGTGGTTCTTCAAGTACGCCCAGCAGCCCAACGAGCCGCTGCTGATCAAGTGCTACGACTCGCTGGACGACGGGCGGGCGCGGCGGATCCCGCACACGGCGTTTGTTGACCCGGAGTACGAGAATGCGCCACCGAGGGAGAGCATCGAGGTCAGGACGCTGGTGTTTTATGATTATTAGGTCACATACACATCACACTCGCACACAGAGAGGGGGAGAGAAGACAGAGAGAGGGTGTGTTTCGGAGAAATTTGGATAGTTTATTTTAATCTTATAGGGTTCGATTCATCTCTCCCCATCATAAGTATCGTCGTCGTCGTATTTCTTTGAGGTTTGGCATTCAACGACTACCAAGTACAGTACGTAGAGATAGATGGCCTGGAGGAAGCAGAGGACGAAGGGGAAGAGGGGAGATCAATTCATGTTACAGTCACATGACTCTTCTCTTGTTACAGTCACGTGTACTCTACTGTCAAAGTCACAGGACTGTAACAGTAATCAGCAAATCACGTACGCTGCACCCAGTGAATGCGTCGAGAAAGCAAATGTTCTATATGTTGATTTCACTCGAGTCCTTCTTCCCTGGCTTTCTACAGCCACGGCCATGAACGTTGAGACCGTCCATGCTTGGAATACTCTATGATATTCGTGCGCAACAGAAAATCGTTGTTCGGATACAAAGTACATCTTATATACATCAAACACACATACACACATACACATATACCCATAAAATCCCAGACCGTCTCATTTTGGCAGCCGCACTGAAAAAGAACTTTATGTATCTCTATTCATAGTCTACTCCTCTCGATCAGCCGCTGTCCTCTCGTCAAGGTTACTCCTTCTCCCCACGCCCGGCCCCGGCGACCCGCTGTGACAGCGACACAGACTCGGCGACCCTTCGAGCGAGAGCTCCTCGGGATCTTCCGAGTACTTGGGCAGCGTGGCGCTCCCGTCGAGC